ATTATCCTGAAACCATGCTGCAAGCTCTTTTTTGCAAGCCACTACAAACAAATTACTAATAGAGACCAATAACACAATGTTTTGTATCATCCAGACAACGTGGGAAGAGCAGGAAACATAGTAACGAGTAACATGTTACTGGATCTGTTTGATTTTTTGCATGACAACGACCAATCTGGAGGCAGCTGTTATGAGGCTTAATCCATTAAAACCAGTGTCTCCACCCGGTTAAATACTAATGAGGATTTAAAGAGCTCGGCTGCAGGGGGCCATCGGACAACAGACACACCTTCCTGAGCAGTCTGCCCCCGACCCGCTATTCTCTTTTCTTATCATACAGATCAGGAGGAGGGCTGATGAAAGACAGTGAAGACGAATGCGGGCGTATTGACCCCACCGGCCGCTCGGCATTGTGGGAAGTCTGATCCCTCAGTCTGATAGAAAACCCCTGGGTAAGAGGAAAAACAAAAAGCAGGAGACAAGAAGAAGAAAGACACAAAGAGAGCTGTGTAGTCTGAGGTATAATACCCAAAATAAAGGAATCCGACATCTGGATCCAAGATCTTAATAAAGAAGCTAAATGCGGGAGAATTCAGATATATTGTTATTGACGGAACGTCGATGCGAACAAAAAGCCACAGGGCTGAGGCTGAGGGGAATTGGCTTTAGCCACTCAAAGATAATCAGTTTTGCAAGTTTAAATGTTTCCTTACAAAGTGTAACTGCACAGATGGGATTCTGAGGCATGTGAAAGGCTTGTCCACACTTGTCCGTCTCTAAAGAGAATGGCACATTTTCACAGCAGGATCCACGTCATTTAATCAGACCCTTCAGTATGAAACAAAGCTGCGATGAATCTTGCACATTAGCATTCCCTGCTAAAAAAAAAAAGATATATATATATATATATATATATATATATATATATATATATATATATATATATATATATATATATATATATATATACTAGTCCAAGTTGGTCTGCAAGCCTGACTGAGCTGGTTAAGTTAGTCTATTTTGATGATTAAGAAGAAGGTTTCGGATACTTCTCAACTGGTCAGACTTGGTAATCAACAAAGACCAGCAAATTACATTAGGCTTTTTTATTTACTTGAAACTATTATATATATATATACATATACATATACATTTATTTATTTATTTAAATGCAGCAGGGTTAGCATTAACATAATGGATCTCAAAATCGAAGAAAAATAATCAGAAAATAACTATTAAGTTCGATTATTTTTTGTTTGATCCACATTCCCCGGAATACGCATAAAATCACAAAACAAAATCACATATTTTTTTTCCCTAAAATACTCGCTTGACACACGAGGAGACAAATGCACAACCCCATCAATCAAAGAAACCAGAAAGATCCGCTCTAATTCTGTCTGTGTGTGAGTTCAGAGAGACCAACAGCCCAGAGACATGTAGAAAGGGACAGAAGACGAGAGCGAGAGAGAGACATGTGGGAGGGAGAAAGACTGTGAGAGAGAGACAGCTAGACGAAAATGTAAGAAACAACAACTCGACAAACCTTGATATGAGCAGCCCAAAGACAGCCAAAATAAACAACAAAGACAGCCAGCCCAACCTAAAGTAAGCGGTAAGGTTTTATACATTAATTTCTCATGATACAACATGATACAAAAATTTATATTTGTGAACTGACACAAGTGGGCACACACACAGATATATATAGAGAGAGAGAGAGAGAGAGAAAGCTGCCATTTTAGACGCCCCTGTGACATATTTGACTGTTAATCAGCAGACATTCAACCGAGGTGTTTAAAGAGACGAGATAGACAGCTCATTTCAGACAGAGAGACAGATGGCTCATTTCTGACAGAAAGACAGACGGCTTGTTTCAGACAGAGAGACAGACAGCTCATTTCAGTCAGAGTTTGAAGGCAAGGGGGACAGCAGCTGTCCAAATAAGGGGCCCATTTGAGATGGAAAATATGATTTTTAGGATACACTTACATTGGGAGGAGTGTTAACCTTTGGGGGATGATTCAAGGGGTTGTAGGATTGTGGTGGGCGGTATGACCAAAATTATATTGGTCATAACACGGTTCCTTTGGATTTAATGATATTATATATACACATTTTTCCTGAAAACTCAACAACAAAGAATTTACGTAATACATGTAACCACTCGTTCAAAAAACAGCTTCTTTTCAAACATTATGAAACAAAAACCTTAAAACAGTAAAAAAATATATATGTGACCCTGGACCACAAAAAAGTCTTAAGTTGCACAGGTGTATTTGTAGCAATAGCCAAAAATACATTGTATGGGTCAAAATTATCGATTTCACTTTTATGCCAAAAATCATTAGGATATTAAGTAAAGATCATGGTTCCATGAAGATATTTTGTAAATTTCTTACCGTAAATATATTCAAACGTAATTTTTGATTGGTAATATGCATTGCTAAGGACTTAATTTGGACAACTGTAAAGGCGATATTCTCAATATTTTGATTTTTTTTGCACCCTCAGATTCCAGATATTCAAACAGTTGTATTTCGGCCAGATGTTGTCCTATCCTAACAAACCATACATCAATGAGAAGCTTATTTATTCAGCTTCAAATCTCAATTTCACTTATGACTGTTTTTGTTGCCCAGGGTCACATATTACGATGCTTCTGTTAAATTACATGTACATCGAACATATGTAATGTAATTACATATATATTAAAGTGTTGGCACATTTCGACCATCATGCTCTTCAGCTCTAAATAATGGTCAGAGTTTTCATCCCAAATGGCTGGATTTTACATTTTCATATGCTTTGGAGACATGCAAATCACTGACCTACAGTCCAGTATTTATGCATATCATGTTTCGAATCTGAAAATCAATAGGGATGACCTTTAAATATCTAAAAAGATTGACCAAATATCCAGTTCTGAGTTTAAAAAAACACAGTTGAAATGGAGGCAGCATAGGTCAAAATTGCAATCGAGTTCCACGGCAAAAGAACACCAATAAAGGAAACTATTCACTTGACGCAAAACTGGGTTATATATTTGCCTAATAACCCAGGCAGGTGAAAGTTATCTCTTCATAAAGCAAAAGTTCAACCTTTTAATTCTGTTTTGTCAAAAGGCTATAGCCGCCAAGAACGCTGTTAATTCTGAGATGTGTGATTTGGCTGTGTGGAAGTCACACAGAAGCAGTTCTGATTTGAATTAAGATGGAGATGAAGTATTTTATATGAATACAGGTGGGTGGCCGCCGGTCGAGGCCACGGTTCCCTGCTATTCGTTCTGAATGAGCTCAAGGCAGCAGGACACAAACGGATATTATTCAGGCCTTTCCATAATTAAAAAAAGAACAGCTCATATTACTCACAATCCTTACCGGCAAATTGGCCAGACATATAAAGCAAAGCTTTCTTTCAAAACTACTTAGCCCCATCATGGAATAATCCAGTGACAGTGCGTCTATAGTGCAACTATAATTGCTGGTAAATAATGATGTTAATTTATCAGCCAATAAACTTGCACCCCATTACAGTACATGAATGAGTCAACATGAGTGTTGTTGACTTTTATAGAAAGCAATCCAAAACATTGAAAAAAGACTTTACTTACTGAGGCCAGAAACACAAGTCAAACGCAGTCACAAATGCCTGGTCAACACATATTACAAATTTTAACTTGCGTTTTTATATTGAGAATGCAACAATACTTATAAATCACACTTATAAATCTAGAATCTGGTATGTGTGTACACTACGTTTCAGACCATATTGTTTTATTACATTATGTATTTTAACTGTTTTGTTCAATAAAACCATATTATTACTTGCTTTTGATATGTTATTTGAACCAATTAATATTGCCTCATTGCTATTATATATGCATTTTAAGTCCTTTTAAAGTCTATTGTTCACTTAGGTCTATTTTTATTGCCACGAAAAAAAAATAATACAGTTACTCAATTAATCGTCAGAATAATCGAACGATTACTCGATTACCAAAATAATTGCTAGTGACAGCCCTAATCGTTATGCATATCATATATGAAATATTCAGGCCATCTATCCCACAATGTTGTGACTTTTTTTTTTTTCGCGCTTTAAAAGTTTATCATAACATGACTCACTCTTGCGAAGCAGTAATAGTGCTACAATTATAAAATAAGCATTAGAAGCTCAGACTAATATAGCATTCAGTATACAGCCCTGATGTATTTCTATAAGAGCACAATGCCACATTTCATGGCATTCGATGGCAGACATACTATCAATAAAACGGCTCCACAATACTTCATCACTGCTTTGCATTTCAGCTTCATAAAATACCAGAAAATGCCGTTTGAGAAGATGCACGGAATACAAATGAGTTACATCCGAACTTATAGACAGCGTTCGGCCCACAAAATGAAATCAGAACGATGAGATCTGAAGTTTCTAGGATATACTCGAGAGAAACGGGGAACAAACCCTCAAGCAATCAATCTTTCAAAGTTTCTGCACAACCGAAAACGTCCAGCCATGGCTATGGCAGTAACCCATTTAATTCAATTATAAAAATGCATTAAAAAGATATTACGGCAGGGACAGAGTGTAATGAGGCATGTTTACTTGAGGATATTGTTTATAATGAGCAGTTGTAGGGTTTAGGCCTATAGTCAGAACAGGACATGAGAGTAAACAGACGGAGATGAGATGAGGGAAAACTCGGAAACACTGTATGGTCTTTCTTTTAATTTAACCAGAAAGAAAAGGAAGGCAAGCTCTGTGTTAATGCACACAGCTTCCCAAGAACCTCAGGCTATCTGTCTTGAAGGAAACAGCCATTATTTATCTGAGCTTTCAGAAATAGTGTCTGTGTAACAAACGTCCACCACACAAAAGAAATAAAAAGAGCACCATAAACTCAAGAACAGCATCAAACTGATGTCTAATTCCAATTGTTTTTTTTGTTTTTTTACAAAAGATGTGTGATATTTTGAGAAGAAAAGAATACATCTTACCGTCAGAACTCTGTACAACCGTCAAGACGAACACCAGGCCACAGAGAACCAAAGACTTCCATTCTGAACATCCCATCCTGGCTCTGACTGGACTTTCTGCTTTCCACATGTCTGGGTCGAAATCACTGTAGTCACAACGATCCAGCAAAGCCACTCTGAGAGATAACCATCATTGACCTCCGAGCCTGCAAGAAAACCACAGCGGACTGTCAGTGTTTGGCTGTTGATGCGGAGCTCCTCAGGCATAAAAACTTCCTCCTTTAAACTGTTGCAGTCTTGCTTGCCTCAGTTCCTCCACAGGATTTGTATTTATTTATGTTTTTCCTCAAGCAAATTCACACAGAATGAATCCCAGGAGTAGAAACCCTCTATTGGTAGGTGACTGAGACCTGAAACAGCACCTCCCACATTACAAACAAGCCATTTTCCTCAAAGCCCGTCGTTACCGTTTATCTGACTCTCCTCTCCCAAACCTGTTCCGCTACCATCCTTTTCTGAGAGGAAACAGGTTTTCCGTCCACTAAAGCCACCGATGCATATTCTCCAGACAAAGAGGACTATGTCATGTACAGTATCGCACCATTTAAATGTTTTTTCTTCTCTGCATGTTTACACCCTCCACCGGCCTCCCATAAAACACACTCACGGCCTCATGGGAAACATCGTCACTCCAGTAACGAGCCACTTAGGAGCCCATTAAAAACAGTGTGTGCACCCCCCTAGGTTTCTTAAAGATACACTAAATATATCTCACCACCCTTTAATACATCATTGCATCACAGGGTATTTCCTCCTGTCTGGTCAAAGAAAGTATTGGAATTTTTGCTACTTGGATTGTCATATATATGGTTATGAGGTGAGAAAATGTGATTAAAAAACATCAGGAGTCTGTTTACATTAACACATACAAGGAGAGGGATTCACTGAATAGTAAATTTCTCTATGATAAGACAAAGAATGTCTAAATGCTAATGCATTGTCTTAAACTTATCAAGGTAATGGACTCCTATATCATTAGTATTCAAGAGTCAACAATCCGACTATAAACAGTATAGTCTCATTGTTTTTTTGTGACCGTGTGGATATGTTGACAAATCTTGACAAGTATAAAAATAATACACATATAGCAACACAGAAATGTACTTACTATTAGATATGTTAGATAATCTACTAACAAAAACAATATTTAATTAATAACTCATTTTAAATAATCAAAAGTTTAATCCCACATTTTGCATGCAACCCTGTTACTGTACAACTTATCCATTGTTGTTACATATAGTGTAACAGTACTTAAAATTGTGAAATCCTAGAAATAACATACATTGGGTCATTTCTAAATGTAAAAAAAATCTTATTCATTGCAATTTACACAATTTGTAGTGCTGAATGCATTTGTCAAACTAAACCATTCAACCCCGTTAAATAATTGTATGCATATTATGTTTCAAAATTTATGAAAAATAAATATGTAAAGTTTCTGTTTTCTGTTAATAATTCAATATGAATAGATCAAGAACTACAAACCAACATTTGGTCATAACTTAGTCAGTCCATACTCAGCAATAAGCGAATTTCTAAATGTAAATAACTTGCTAAATTTCAACCCTGTTTTAACATTACTCAGACACAAATTTTAGTAATATATATATATAATATTTAGTTTGACACTTTTCACTGACTATTTGATGAAAATTAGAAATAAAAAAGAAAATAAAGAAACAGAGACATATATTTTAGGCCATATATTGTACTCTATTCGCAGGATAGGCACTTTACTGTTTTTTTTTTGCATCAGTCGGGCACAACAAGGAGAGCAAACAGGGCCACAGCATCTGTCTTCATGCCACAAAAAGAGAGCTGCCCAACGTAAGAGGTCATAAAATATCAGGAGAGTCTAGAAAAAAAAGAAAGAAAGAAGGTTTCTGCTACTCTCACAGGCTCATCATCTCAGTTTCAACAAAATGCATCAATTTTTAATTCCTGCAAAAACAATGAAAGCAATGTTGCTGTCAAAATGGTGCAAATGCACGGGTGAAAATGCGTGTGTGCATGTGTGTGTGTGTCTGCACGTCTGTGTACACGAAGGGACAGTCAGAAATATGTTCTGTCATTTAGCATGATCTGTTCGGATACGTTCAAGCTCCAGACCTCACCTAAGAGCTCTCCTCTTGTTTTAAAGTCAACGTGAAACAACATCCACACATTTTACTTCACTCTGTGCCGTGACATATTTCCAAATGAAACAGGATATGAATGAATTCCATTTAATCTTTAAAATATTTAAATCATTAGATTATTTCATAAGCATGGTTACTGCTACTGTGATATAAAATTTTTCTCATATATTTTGGGAGAAGAGGTTAAAATATAAGATGTCTTGGTGAAGTTAGCCAAAATAAAAATTAGTTTCAGAGGCAGAACAAGGTATTACATTTTAATAAGATATTTCAAAGACAAACTTTTTTTTTTGTTGATAATAACGTGCACAGATGAGGCGCACAATAATATCAGGAACATAAATAAACTAAATAGGATCCATTTTGATTTCATGTCGGCCTCGTATGTGTTTTTATGTGTCTGTCCTTCACTGTCATTTGATTATTGAACACCACTTTACACACACACACACACACACACACACACACACACAATCCAGCTTGTCTGTCTGCGCAGATACACAGCGTCTCCCTCAGACAAGAGCAGTTGTGTGAGCGTAACGCCTCCTCTGTCCCTCTATTAAGCACCAGATCATCAATTATTCAGCACCATCATGAGCCATTATTCAACAGGATGATTAATTTTTAAGATGGTAGAAGGGAACACAAAACATAAAGTGAGGGGCATTTAAAGAACGTCTTGAATGGGTGACATTAAAAGCGGGGTGGCGAAGAAATCGACCGATGATTGATTTGGACAGGTTGATTGATCGATTTCTTATGAGAGGAAATTATTTGGAGATGATTCGAGCTTTGATAGTTCACTCAGCTAGCAGAGATGATTCAGGATTCTGCCACAAACCACAAAGTCATTGAGAAGCGTTTAATTAACGGCCAATTACTTTAATTAAAGTAAACCAGCGAAAACTGGAGAATGGTTTTCTTGAATGTATAGATTCTTAGAGAAAGCCTCACTTAAATCCTTCAAAACACTTTTTTTTCAGATCTCAACAAGCAAACTGGTGTGAGGTTGAGCACAAGCTCGACAGAAAATCGTTTAAAAATCGGCAGACAGATAAGGAGGGTGGAGTTTGTTCCCGGCGAGAAATCAACTGTCAGGTCTAAATCTCTCCTGATGACGCAACCAGCAGTTAAAGCCTCATGCTACACCTGATGCTACGATATTGACCTCTCAAGTGTCTAATACGTATGCATGGCTTTATAGTTTCGGAACTTCAGTAATTACTTGATGATTCTGAAATAAAAATGCAATTTGAAATCTAGTGAACAGGGGAAAATAATGATGAAAATCTGGACGAAAGGAGCCACAAACCCAGTCTCTCACATGACTCGAGTTTGTTTCTGTGATGACTTTGTGGTGATCTCTCATTCTGAGCTGTTAGGCTCAAGGCTCTGGAGAAGAAAGCCATGAGAGATTGTGTGTGGATCGTTATCCTCATTTACATGTGTTAACTAACACTGTGAGAAGTGGAACTGAGACGCAGCTGTCCCTCCACTAGATTGAGACTGAACTCATTTGACCCCCCCTACACTTCTTAAACTTTTAAAGAAAGTTGACAGGCTAATTGTCAGTTCTAGATATTGCATTCAAAACAATGAAAAGGCCAATTGTTTGTCATGTGACTGTGATAACGTCTCTCCCATGAAGCACCACGAATAACATAACCAAGTCAGTTTCCGTATGGACTCAAAATACATAAATATTTGCATATATATGTATATTTTTCAATAGCTTTAACAAATATATTGTTTCTATAGATATAATCAAAAACTTTAAATGAACATATTTAAATTTCACACCTTTTTTAAATTTGTAATGCACAATGCTTCAATGGAATTGCAGTTCCTTCCCTCATTACAGTTTTGTACCTTTGAATTATTATTATTATACGGTGATAATGACTACCATGATGAATTTAGAAGATTTCCAATTAAACTTCACTCTTAGCTAATGGTACTAAACCAATCCCATATTCTTTATTATCTGTCAGTGGTTTAGAAATCACATTTGACTGTCTATTGTGTTCTTTTTTCAAAGATCTTGGAATCCAGACACTTAGTACTAGCTATACTTGCAGGTCCGTGTAGTGGCTTTAATGCTGTATGTTATCGGTAGCAACAAATGTCTTTATTTTGAAGCTAGTTAGCAGATCAGAGAATGCAATGCAACCGATATGGCGGTTGTGTTTTTCACACAGGTTAAAGCGGCACATTAGCACAGCAGTCAGACAGACACAGCTCGGAGTGACTAAAGAGTTTGTGTGTTATATTAGCCTGACTGAACCGTGTCTTTCTCCTTCAGTCCTTCAAGCCCACGCATTCTCACAATCATGCAGAGAATGCGTGACATAATATGACACCATGTTTTCTTGCCATTTCCTTCCTGCTTATAGTGTAATAAATGCATGATTGGATTGGGAACAGCGGTTTGCTGGAGGGCCTGAAGCTTGATTATTTATGTTTTTTACCAGTTGCGAATGTCTTGAGGAAAGGTTTGGAAACTGTCATGAAATGGTTTCTCAACCTCATTCTGTTTATTCACAATTCGAGTGTGACAAATTCACTGCCACATAGATGCTATGTTCTCTATCTCATGTACTTCAAAGGGATTTCTTTTTTTATTTATTTTTTCAAATACAGAGCACATACATCTGACAGTAATAACAGATCATATGTAATAATGTTGGACATTCAACACAATATTTGTGACCCTGGACCACAAAACCAGTCTTAAGTCGCTTGGGTATATTTTTAGCAATAGCCAAAGAAACATTGTATGGGTCAAAATTATCGATTTTTCTTTTATGCCAAAAAATCATTAGGATATTAAGTAAAGATCCATATTCCATGAAGACATTTTGTAAATTTCCTACCATAAATATATCAAAACTTAATTTTTGATTAGTAATATGCATTGCTAAGAACTTCATTTGGACAACTTTAAAGGCGATTTTCTCAATATTTAGATTTTTTTTGCACCCTCAGATTCCAGATTTTCAAA